GATTTTGGCTGAGTTTGGAGCATAATTTGTGCCTGTTTATGAAAATGATTTTTTTCTACTAAAGTAGATGCTTGCATTTCCAAGTTTCCCATTTGTCCACTGTCCTGCCTTCCTTTGGTTTAGAAATGGAGGAGCTTTGTACTCTTAAATCTCAAGTCAGCAAATGCCATAAGGCAATTACTTGTATATGCTCTGTGCATCCCTGAGGTATGCCTCTGTAAAGTTATTTTTAATGTAATATTAAGGAACCCTTAATGTAACACCATCCAAAATAACATCTCAGGTAAAAAAATAATAATATAGCAGCTATATAAGGCGTTTCAGTGAACCCATTTTATTTTACATAGAAATGTACAGAAAAAAGTAAGTGATGAGCTTTGAGAAAGGAATAGGGACCTTTTTTCCCCAATCGGTTTACCCTGTTTACACATGCCTTAATAATGTATCCAGAGTATCCTGACCATGATCTGCCTAACAACTGTAGTTATCTTCTAGCCTATTATACCATAGTAAATCATTGCATACTGATTCCATGAAGTCATTAGAATCCAGGCCAAGATATTCAAAAATAGAAGCCTGAGTTTAGATTATAAAGAAGTAATCTGGGTTTCAAAATGGGGGCTGCTAGATATTTGGCACTTTGTAAATTAAGTCCCTCATTTGGGGCTCTTAATTTTATTTCTTTCTGAAAACTGTAGCCCCTACCTATGATATTAGTCCTAGATATAATATGGCAAAAAAAATTGACTGACATCTTGAAATCTGCATGCAAGAGAAAAGAATTTGTTTTAATCCACCTAATTCCTAAACTGGTAATAGGATAGTATGGTAATATGCTGTCTGTGCATCACCCAGAACAACACCTAATCAAAGACCACAGAGATTTCTGATAGAGCTGCCAGGGACAATAAGTGTCATTAACAGAGATGCTAATAGGAGGCTGTGTTCAATTTTAAAATTAAAAGTAGCACAAGACAAGTTAAAGGACACCTACAATTCCACAGTTGAGAACTTCAGCCAGCTTCATCCGTGCCTGAAGTTTTAGGTATCTTGTCATCCATTCGTCAACCTCTCTGATTATTTTTCAATCAAATTAAATCCTTGGCAAAAAATATAAAGCACAGGTTACTTTTTGATTTTATTAATATTCTTTTTTTTTTTTTTTTTTTTT